CTCTACAGCTGAGGCTGAGATCTACGCTGGTGCCATGGCGGCACAGGAGCTGCGTTGGTTGACGTTTTTGCTCGCTGACCTTGGTGAGCGGCCGAGCTCTGCACCGACCTTGTTCACTGACAACAAGGCGTCGATTCTCCTCTGTCGTGAGCCACGACTGGAGAGCAGAGTGAAGCACATTCACGTCAGGTACTTCCTTCTGCGAGAGTTGCAGAGGCGTGGACAGGCTCGCTTCGAGTTTGTGGAGTCCGAGGCCAACACTGCAGACATCTTCACCAAGGCGCTTCCGCCTTGTGACCACCAGAGGTGTTGTGTGCAGTTAGGCCTTGTTGACACAGGTTCTAGTCGTGTATAGGCTTGAGTTTACTGTTTGCTTTGCTTGTACTCTTGCTATACACACTTGTGAACTCTTGGACTGGTCTTGTGGCCACTGTTGCTTGTGCTCAGAATGTGTGGTGACGTTGTGATCCACCCTGAGCTTTGTATCTTTGTGACTGGTCTTGTGACCGTACACTTTTGGTTTTGCTAGACACCCCTCACTTAGGCTATGGGGGTGTGTCAAATGTTGTAGCCTTAGTGAGGTTTGTCTTAGGGGGTACAGATGTTAGGGTTTGTTATATGTACCCCAACCCACATCAATGAACCAAGACTTTCATTCTTGACAGCAACTTATTGCTCACTCGATTCTTACGCGCATCTGATACTTCTTTCATTGTTCTCTTCTTGGGAACCTCCCCCACAATAGTAGGTGAGGGTATATAGTTCCTCCATTCCATTCCGTCCTTCCCTACTAAGGTAAAACCCTGAGTTCTGGAGCCTTGCTCCCGACGCACCTAATGTCTCTTATCTCCTATGACGACTGCTCTGCAGACTCCTTGGAGAGTCTTGTCTTAATATGTAAAATTTTGAAATATGCAAGACTTGTAAAGGATTATGCAGTAAGGAGTCATCTGCTCCTTATCTCGTGGCAGGTCCACAGACCTGCCACCTAGTCGAATCATTTCTAGATCTGAATCTAGAACCCACCCTCCCGCCCTTACGCTAGTTAGTAACCTCGTTAGCCTCGTATCTATACCAGTGGTAGTTATTTTCGTCTCGTTATATCCTCATTATCTTTGTAATTTGCAATCTAGTGTGCTGTATGATTGAGATCTGAAATATGACGACTGCTCTGCAGACTCCTTGGAGAGTCTTGTCTTAATCAGTTGAATATGAAGAACCCTGCAACAGCGTCGCTGCGGCTGTAATTCGCGAAATGTAGCGAAGCAGTTCTTTGTCATTCCATTCTGGTGGCGCTAAGAGTGTGTTCGTGTATACGCGAAAGCGGAATCTTACTCGTTAAGCAAAGTGCAGAGCAAATTGGCTTGTATATATTCAACTCATGATACGCAATGAACATTCGTAACACTAATCAAACAAAAGCTCCTGCGGAGTGACAGGTCTGTCAAGTGGAACCATCGACTTCTTTTCCTTGTCTCTTGGCATAGCTTTACGCATATCTATCAGTGAGATGGTACGGCACCGTAAGGAATGGGGGGGAGGGAGGGGATGGGTATGGTAGGGAGGGGGTGGGGATGGGAATATTCATTAAGATTTGAAGGATTACGTGCCCCATATGGACAAGCAAACACAGATATCATTCTGCATATGGACAAGTACGTCAGGTGATTTTATGCATTGCTAAGTGCCAAAAGAAAGCCATGCCATACCATGCAATGTCACCATGTCATCTGATGCCATACTGACTATTCCATCGCAGGTCATGTCAGCCATGACATGGGAACTCACCGAAGGCATCTTCCTCCCCGGAATAATACATGAGCACGCGACGATACACCTCATACCCAAACTGAAAGAGAGACAGGAGAGGAAGGGAACTAATGAGGCAAGAAAAAAATATCAAGCGGACATAAGAATTAGCAGAGACATAGATGACTGTTGTACCAGAACAAATGACTGTCGGGCTTGGAACCAGTTACAGATGGTTGGATGAATAATAACCAAGTAAGTATGGTTGGACGATTAATAACCAGGTATGTATAGTTGGTACTTACTTTACGGTACATTTGGATAGCAGCCTTATTGGACGTCCGGACAAAGAGATCTACAAAGTACCCGTCATAACTGAAATGCAGGGAAACAAGAGTGAGAAGCAGGGGAACAAAGAGGACAAGGAGGTCTACAAAATACTCGTCATTACTGAAACGCATGAGTGAGAAGCAGGGGAACAAAGAGGACAAAGAGATCTACAAAAACACTCGTGATGGGGATTGGAGCGGAAAAGCACTCGTGTCTTGGGGTTGATCTCATAGAAAATGTCCATCAGCTTGGCTGCCAGCTGCACTCTCTCTGGCTGCATGCAACTGTTAAGCTGCGCGGCATGTACTCTTTCAGCGGCTAACGTGCCATTCAGTCCCACTCAAGTTTGGTGCAATGGTCAACACTAGTGATCTTGAAGTCGCTACTCGAGACATTCAAAGTGTGGTTTCTGAATCTGTGGTTCCACGGAGGTGCACCGGCAGCAGCAACATCCGCCATCGTTTGAAGAAGCATGTCACGATGGTGGATGTTGCTGCTGCGGGTGCACAGAATCCACACTTTGAATGTCGCAACTAGCGGCTCCAAAATCGCAAGAGTTGACAATTGCAACACTCTTAAAAAATGTCCATCAGCTTGGCTACCAACTGCACACTCTCTCTCTCTCTCGATGCACACACCTTTTGGCTTCTAGGAATTTTCCTCTCCCAGCAACACCACTCACGTCTTGTGGGTGATCTCCTCGAGAATGTCCATCAGCTTTGCTGCCAGCTGCTGCCGTCGATACTCCGGCGCCACTGTCAGCGCCGTCACGTGCCCGTGCCACAGCTCGCCCTCGCCCTCCACCTTGCCCATGACTGCCAATAGAGCAGAGGGAACGGGGGAAGGGGGGATAGGATGGAAACACAAAATGTGCTGTGGTCAATGCTCGGGTGCCACAGTCAGCACCGTCACGTGCCCGTGCCACAGCTCGCCCTCTCCCTCCACCTTGCCCATGACTGCCATGCAAGAAAAAGAGGGAGGGGGGTTTATAAGTGTTGGGGGGGTTGGAGAGGCGCAGGTGCGGTGCAATGTGGAGAGTTCACCGATGCATGTGCGCATGCCAAAGCTCGCCCATGTGTGATGAGACGATTCTTTAGTCAATGTGGAGAGTTCACCGATGCATATGCGCATGCCAAAGCTCGCCCATGACTGCGTTGCGTTTGTCAAGTGGAGAGGAGAAAAGGGACATAGCAGATAATGTGAAGTGACACACACCTCGCCTTCGCAATGCAACTTCTCATACATGGACTTGTCCTGTGTACTACCATGGGGGTCAGCCCGCCATGTCACCATGCCACGTTACTCACTGTAGCCCATGATTCGGTCCCCTGGTCCTTGTGCCGCCACGAAATACTCCGGCCAGCTCGCCATGTATCCCAGGTAGAAGTTCAGGTTGTACTGCCATGTGGTGGGTTCAGGAATAACATAGAGAAACACAAATGCGAAGATTAATATTCAGGTTGTACTGCCATACTATGAGGAGTGTAGTATCATGTGCAGAGATGAAGTAGAGAAAAATATATTGGCAGGGTACAAATAAATTGTAAAAACGTTAAATCGGCTGCTTCCTTCCCTTACTCTCCCTCCCTTCACCTCTCTCTCATGCACTCCACCCATCCCTCGTCCCCTCCTTCCTTCCGATCCGACTCCTTCATCCCTACGCTAAGTGCATATGAGTGCACATACAGTCTCCGTGTACCAGTCGATGTTTGAATCGACTCAAACAATCCCTCCCCTCAGTGCAAGTGAGGTGGCTTTTGAGTCAACTCATAGTAGTCCATTCCTGCTCCCTTCCTTCCCCGCAGCTCCTCCATCCTTCCCCTCAGTGCATGTGAGTGCATGAGAGCGCACTGCACTTACAGTCTCCGTGTACCAGTCGAGGTTGACATTGTTAAACCGAAACAGATCGTCGCACGTGAAACGTCGGATTGTTGTCATTGCGCGCGGAACGAATGTACCAACAAGACAAACTTCGAAGCAAGGAAGATCTGTACTGTGCGCGCGCGCTTGAAAGAAACTGCGCGTTCAAACAATTCGGAACAAAAAAATCGAAGGAAGATTAATACTTCGAAGGATGAAGGAAGAAAAAGTGTGGTGGATTGATGAGTGTCAGAACGGCGTTTTTCGAGCAGGACGACCGGCGCAACTGGATTTCTATTATCGGGGTTGGGCGGATGACAAGGAACAGGAGCGCACTGCTGACTTGATAGCGCGACGGGGATTTGTGGCCGGACGAGTGACGGCAGAGAAGATCAGGAGCCAGCAGAGAGATTATGTGGGAGGAGGCGAATGCGAGGAGGGAGTAGAGAGCAAGGCAACAGAAACAACTACCGTATCAGAATTACGTTGTCTGGGAAAAATTAATTGCAACAGGTGATGTTGCAAGGGTATTGCGTGCGGAACAGCATGTTCTGTAAGCGCGAAACCGAATAATGTAACGGCGCTTTAGCCGAAACGATATAAGGATTCGCACGCCTTGATTTTGACATGGTGCAAGGCCAGCTGGGTAACAACCTCGTTCGCGTATGTCGCAAAACATAGCAAGCGAACAAGATAGCATGGCGAGCCCAAACTTCCGCTCCCAGTCTTCCATTCGTGTCAACATTCCATGGCAAAAAGGACACGAACTGACTCTATAAGCAAGTCTGCAGCGTTTGCAAGCACAGCCTCCTAACGACTCTCTTCACATCACACCATCAAGTTACCCTCGTAGTCGCACTAATTCTGGAGTTCCTGCGATTACCGTAATCGCAAGTCACTAGCGAGTGCGTTGTTCGCGTTGAGAACACCGAGTTCTGCGACTGGAGCAAGAGAGCACTAACACGCGTTATTGTAATATTCCATTCTCGAATCTTCGAAGCTCATTGCCAGACGTTGTATAACTTCTAATATCAGAACCCCTCCAGCTCTCCAACGAGCCCATGGCGTCCGATCCCAAGCCTCCATCAATAGGCGAGTCGCTCTCCGCTCAGCCTAGTCGCACCATCTTTATCTCCAAAGACCTTCGCGACCCGCTGCACGTGCTGCGATGCGGACTCGCGGCGTACATGCCGAAAGGATCGCTACCCACCTACTCCGACCTTTTCCTCCTCCTCATCGAAGCCGCGCCGCACCTCGTCGAGAGACTCTTCGTTGGCGCCGCTGTCGCTGGTGAGCAGTAGCATTCGATATTGTCACCTCGGTTCTGTCGTTTGTAAAAGACATTGACTCGCTCTGTTCATGCCAAAAGGATCGCTACCCACTTACTCCGACCTCTTCCTCCTTTTCATCGAAGCCTCGCCGCACCTCGTCGAGAGGCTCTTCGTTGGCGCCGCTGTCGCTGGTAGGCACAACCTTCACCTCGTTATCGTCTGTAGTATCGTTCATGCCGGGAGGATCGCTACCCACCGACTCCAACCCCTTCCTCCTCCGACCCCTTCCTCCTCATCGAAGCCGCTCTCCACTAGGTAGATAGACTCTTTGCTGGCGCCGCTGTTGCTGGTGGTAAATACTCCATTTACCTCGTTATTGTCACCTCGCTACTACTGTCGCCTCATCAGCTTGTTATGGACACCACTGTTCCCTCTAGGGATAAACACAACCTCACATCGTTCCCTCGCTGCCTGCATAAAAGTATCCGTGCTTAGAGACATTTAGCATTTCCCTTACCCCGCACCCCCTGCCTGTCCACCCCCACGGACATCAGGAGACAACGCTGACGTGGCAATTTCCAACGCTCGTGAGAATCTTGCCCAGCTCGTCAGAAAGGCTAGACGCGTCAGCACCCCCTTGACCCAGGCCCACCCACCAGCAGGCCAGTCAACCGTATTCCACCCAGGTCAATTCCAGTCTTTTCCAGGCCAATTACCAGGCAGCAGCAGCAGCAGGAGCAATCCGTACTTTAACTTCGTTCCAGGCCAAGTACCAGGCAGCAGCAACAGTAACCCATACTTCAATTTCACACGAGGCCAAGTACCAGGTAGCAGCAACAGCAGCAATCCATACTTCAACTTCATGCCAGGCCAAGTCCCAGGTAACAGCAACAGCAACCCATACTACAATGTCGCGCCAGGCGTGCAGCAGAAGGCTGCGCCTAGGAGAGGAAGGGCGAGCAGGAGGAAGAAGACGGGAGCAAGTATTGAGGACGACGAGTCTGACGGTTACCAGCCTGTGACTTTCCGGCTCCCGAATGTTCTTGAGATCATGGCCGTTGATCCAGCAGCTGTGGACGGACTGGATTTTTCCAAGTCGAAGATCGAATCTTCTTCAAAGTTTGGCTGGGGGGGACCTCGGCGTGGATGTAATTATGAGGAGCTGGCAGCTAGAGGTGAGCGTATTTCATGCTATGTGCCCTTGACTGTGTATGACAGCAGCGTTTTCACCATTTGCTCTACCTTGCACAGACAACAGTGTCATCTGGGTCAATCGTTTATTTGGATCCCTTGTTTAATTTCTGTTGCCTTGTGCAGAGGATCCAAGTGAGCAGCCATCCGCAAACGTCGGTCGTAAGCGCAAGTCCAGGCGAGCAGTGGGTAGCGCAGGCCTGGAAAATTCAGGTATGGAAAATGCAGGCGCAGATAACTCAGCATCTGAAAATACAGCTTCGGAAAATACAGGTCCTGGACATACAGATCTGGAAAGTACAGGCTTGGGAGATTCAGGTCTGGGGGATCATCAGAGCGGTTCTCCAGGCTTGGCGAGTGGACAGGATGTGCCAATTGGTTATGTTGAGCCTACTGCTGCAGAGAATGGTCCTGTGGATGAGAGGGAAAATGTGCAGGACGGTGGATGGGATACAGTGCCTGTACCAGTGGAGCTGGTAATTGATGTGTCCGAGCCGAGCTTGTGATCTACGGTGGGGTCAGGCAATGGGTTGTGCTACTGCTGGTGAGGTTCCAGTACTGCCTATGGCATTAACGTCAAGCTACAATGGGTTGGTACGATATGTTAGAGCTGGGACACTGTTTTTAGTTAGCATTGTTAGAAGAGTATGTGTTGCAAATGCAAGTATTATTGGAATGCTCTCTGCACCGCTTATGTTCAATCATACTAGAATAGCAAAGCTTGTCCACAGATGTTGCCGCGTTCTTCGCTCTTACATAATTCCGCGTTCATCCATTCCAATGCCCATCCACCTCCCCTATCTCCGCCTGTCAGTCTGCGTCCGTGCCAGACCTCTCTGGTGCGGTGGCCCGCACAGCCACTCAAATCCCATCGCCGCAACATCCATCACCTTCACGCATCCATCCCAATCCGTGCATGCGTCAGCTGTGGACAGACAAACGCGTACTTCAAACCACCTCACACCACCTAACGAGATGAACAGCTCACCGTACAGGACCGTGCAAGTTTCCTCTCTTTGGTGTTTCTTATCAAGAATGCGATTGTGCTGCATCCCTCCGTGCCTAGGGTTTCACGGGCCTCCTTATCTCGAAGCACCTCCATACGCTTCCGTCCACTCGTTTCTTTCTTGCAACTCTCACTTGAAGCTTGCAGGCCTAGCTTCCTTTCCTCCTCCAAATTTTCAGTACTTCCATCACTTTCAGTCGCCATCTCAGTGCTTGCCTAGCTTTATTACCTACGGCTTTGTCTTGTTCTTGGCAGGCTTGTTAGGGGTTGTGAGATTCGCTGCGGGTGGACGGTTTCTCTACCGTTTCTTAATTTTCGTTTTCGTAGAAAAACAAAATCCGTTGCTTCTCGCTTCATAGTAGACCGCGTCTCGTCTTCAAAAGTGCTGTCATAGCGTCTTCCGTTCTGTTTCTTTCTTACACCTCTTCACTGAATTATTCTCCACGCTATTAAGGATGCCGGCGAAGGATCCGCCAGGCAGTCCTACCAAGTCCAGGAGCATCACCAAGACGGTAAATGGCAGCCATCAGTTCAACATCACCGGCTACTCCCTCGCCAAGGGCATGGGAGTCGGCAAATACATGTCCAGCGACACGTTTACCGTTGGAGGCTTCAAATGGGCTATTTACTTTTACCCGGACGGGAAGAACGCGGAGGATAACTCGCAGTACGTTTCGCTCTTCATCGCGCTTGCGAGCGAGGGGACGGACGTCCGTGCGTTGTTCGAGCTGACGATGCTGGATCAAAGCGGACGGGGTCGCCATAAAGTCCATTCGCACTTCGACCGCGCGCTTGAATCTGGACCGTACACGCTCAAGTACCGAGGATCTATGTGGGGTTACAAGCGGTTCTTCCGGCGAGCGACGTTAGAGACGTCGGATTATCTCAAGGACGACACGCTACAGATCACGTGCACGGTCGGAGTTGTTGTGACTGAAACGGAGGGTCCGAAGCAGCCGGTGTCGATACCTATTCCGCCGTCGCAGATGGGGAAGGATTACGAGGTGCTCCTGTACTCGGGCGAGGGATGCGATGTAACGTTCGACGTCGGAGATGAAACGGTGTCCGCTCATAGAGTCATCCTCGCCGCGCGCTCGCCAGTCTTGAAGGCTTTACTGTACGGACCCATGCGGGACAGGCGGGAGGGTAACATCCCCGTTACAGACATCGAGGCTCCGGTGTTTAAAGCTCTCCTCCATTTCATCTACACCGACGATCTCCCAAGCTCGGGACCGTCCGCTTTCACGCCAATCATGGCGCAGCATCTGCTCGCGGCTGCGGACCGCTACGCCTTAGACCGGCTGCGATTAATCTGCGAGTCGAAGCTGTGCGAGACGGTGGATGCGGATACGGTCGCTACGACGCTGGCTCTGGCGGAGCAGCACAACGCGAAGCGGCTCAAGAACGTGTGCCTGCAATTCGCGGCGCAGAACCTCTCTAGTATGGTTTCCGAAATTTTAGGCCAATTCTGTAGTTGCTCTATCTTGTTCTGAAATCTTTCCTCCGCTCCACCTCTTTCCTCCCTCTTTCCTTCCCCCCTTTCCCCCCACCCTTTCCCCCTTTTCCCCCACCCCTCTCCTTTCCCCCCCAACCTCCCTCCCCTTCCCCTCTCCTCCTTCCCCCATCCTCCACCCATTTTCCGCCCTTCCATCCACTGTTGGTTACCCCATCACTCAACACCCTTCTTCACTATCTCGGTTCTTCCCTGTGCAGGTGTGATCAAATCAGAAGGCTTTGAGCATCTACGAATCAGCTGTCCTTCCCTCCAGGCGGAGCTGCTACAGGCTGTAGCAGGCGTGGGAAACAACAGTGAAATCCTTGCTACAAGGAGGCCCGCGGATTCCATGTGGGTTGAGGATTCGAATGCTGATGGGACTGACCCTACAGGGAGGAGAGTCAGGCTCAGGTTGGGGAATTTGTAAATTCTTGGGGACGTTATGTTGCATGTCTGAATTACTTGTATACTTGTGAGGCACCAATGTGGAGTTTCTGTTCCATTCCTGTGAGGTTCATCTTAGCCAGACACGTATACCGTAATAACCTTGGTCAGACCGTAAGAGTGAAAATGGTTACCGTGTTGTGGTGTTTCACTCGGACTGTCCACCATTCAGGTTGCTCATAATATACCTATGTGTAAGCCTGGTTTGATACCTACCCTATCCCAAATGAGGGTACAGTATGGTGCTCCGCTCCCTATGTTAGCAATGGATGGTTAACTTTTTGCTTAACCCCTCTGGCCAGCCTACCGTTTCTCCCTCTTAAGTCTCAACGAGTCCTGGTACTGGTAGTTCCTCCATTTGCTACCACCTGTACACGATGCAATGATTTCGCATCATAGGAAGAAGCAGTTAGGCCACCGTCAGCAGCGCCTCCACCTCCAGCACCACCAGAAGAACCACCATCACTCCCACCAACTGTATTATTACCAGCGTCACCGCCACCCACACCAGCAGCATCGCCACCACCCACACCTGTATAAGTTCTTGCGCTATTGGCACCATCACCACTGACAGCAGAGGGTGTTCGGGATGCGACAGGTGTGTCAGCAGCACCACCTGCACTGCCCAGTGGTTTCAGTGTATTCGTTGTTTTCAAAGCTGTTGGTGTTTTTGCTGTTTTGGGTGTTCTCGGCGTTCTGGGTGTTCTGGGCGTGTCACCGCCACGACCACTACCACCACCCGCAGCACCCTCTCCCATCTCCATCAGAGCCGTCAAAGTCTGCACCATGTCGGCCATCGACGGCCGAGATTTCGCGTCCTGCAGGCAGCAGTGCGCAGCAACAGCGAGCTTCAGCGCTCCCTTGTGTGAGAACCTCCCTTGCAGCCTCGGATCCACGATCTCCCCGATCCTCTTCCTGTCCGCCAGGAACGGCTTGGCCCAAAAGACAAGGTTCTTCTCGTCGCCTGGCCGGTCTATGTCCACGGCTCTGCGGCCGGACAGGAGCTCCAGCAGCACCACTCCAAATGCGTACACATCGCTCTTTGCTGTCAGGTGGCCTGGTGGTGGTGCAGGTGGAGCAATGGAGCACAGGCGGGAAGGGAAGGAGAATTGGTGATGTTTCCCTTGCAACCGCGGATCCACAATCTCAGCGCTCCTCTTCCTGTCCGCCAGGAACGGCTTGGCCCAAAAGACAAGGTTCTTCTCGTCGCCTGGCCGGTCTATGTCCACGGCTCTGCGGCCGGACAGGAGCTCCAGCAGCACCACTCCAAATGCGTACACATCGCTCTTTGCTGTCAGGTGGCCTGGTGGTGGTGCAGGTGGAGCAATGGAGCACAGGCGGGAAGGGAAGGAGAATTGGTGATGTTTCCCTTGCAACCGCGGATCCACAATCTCAGCGCTCCTCTTCCTGTCCGCCAGGAACGGCTTGGCCCAAAAGACAAGGTTCTTCTCGTCGCCTGGCCGGTCTATGTCCACGGCTCTGCGGCCGGACAGGAGCTCCAGCAGCACCACTCCAAATGCGTACACATCGCTCTTTGCTGTCAGGTGGCCTGGTGGTGGTGCAGGTGGAGCAATGGAGCACAGGCGGGAAGGGAAGGAGAATTGGTGATGTTTCCCTTGCAACCGCGGATCCACAATCTCAGCGCTCCTCTTCCTGTCCGCCAGGAACGGCTTGGCCCAAAAGACAAGGTTCTTCTCGTCGCCTGGCCGGTCTATGTCCACGGCTCTGCGGCCGGACAGGAGCTCCAGCAGCACCACTCCAAATGCGCACACGTCGCTCTTTGACGTTAGGTGACCCGGTGAAGGTGGTGGTGGTGAAGAGGGATGGTGAGGGAAAGGACGGAAGTTGATGAACTCCCTGAGTGGCCCCAAAGCAACTCCAGGCTCCAGCAGCACCACTCCTCACTCCCGTCGCTCTTCGCTTGATAGAGTCTTTTGGTGGTCGCGGTGGTGAACAGAAAAGGTGGTGGTGGTGGTGCTTGCTTAGCACCGCTGCTCACCACTCAGCACCGCATCACACCACCCAGCACTGCCACTCGTTACCAGTTTGCAAGTACTCGGAAGCTGTTTAGCCAAATTTAGGTGCCGACCACCATGGTGGACACGTGCGTGTTTTCCCCTGCCAGCCCTTACCAGTCTGCACAGCCTTGAACCACAACGTACCACTCTAAACTGCAACTCCTTACCAGTCTGCAGGTACTCAGGAGCGGTGTAGCCATAGGTACCGACAACCATGGTGGACACGTGAGTGTTCTCCCCTGCTGGTCCGTCCTTAGCCAATCCGAAGTCTGACAGCTTCGCATTGAAGTTCTGTCAGGAGAAGGTTGAGAGTCGTGGGGTGCGGTGGAGTGTGGCGAGGGGAGATATAAAGTGTTTGAGGCCTCAGCAGGTCCGTCCTTGCCCAATCCAAAGTCTGACAGCTTCGCATTGAAGTTCTGTCAAGAAGGGGAAGCAAGGGGGGTGCAGTGTGGTAGGGTGTGGTGGGGTGTGGTGGGGTGTGGTGAAAGGGGGATAAAAGATTGTGAGGTCTCAAAAGGCCCGTCCTTGGACAATCCAAGTCTGACAATCCGTCCTCGCATTGAGGTGCTGTTGGCTGACTGATTGGTTCCAAGCCACAACACGCTAGCTTTTTGGATACCCCAAGTCACACGCACACACACCCCTCCGCCCTCACCTCAACAATCAGGATATCCGCCGGCTTGAAATCTATAAAAAAACCGCCTGCCATTCCGTGCCCTCATGCAGGCATGCCATCCCTTTAGCCCCTTGCCTCCTGGATTGACCCAGCTCCCCAGCCCACAACACACACACGCGGCACACATCTCCCGCGCTAACTCACCTCATCCAGCAGTATATTCGCCGCCTTGAGATCTCTGAAGATCACCTGCCGCTCCGTGCCCTCATGCAGGTATGCTAACCCCTTGGCGGCACCGAGAGCAACATTGACCCGCTGCTGCCACGTGAGAGGGGGTCGAGTGTCTGGAAAGGGGGGCGAGGAGAACAGGGGACAAGAGACAGGGCTCGATTAGTACAGGTCGAAAGAATCTCCTGCCGCTCCGTGCCCTCATGCAGGTATGCTACCCCTTTGGTACGCCCAGAGCAACATTGACTTGCTGCTGCCAAGTGAGAGGGGGGCGGGTGTCTGGCAGCGGGTGGGACGGGGGAGGGGGAGGGAGAGAGGGGGAGATAAGCCGCCACGTCCCCTCATGCAGGTACGCTAACCCCTTTGGTACGCCCAGAGCAACATTGAATTGCTGCTGCCAAGTGAGAGGGGGGCGGGTGGGTGTCTGGCAAGAATAAGGGGAAGGCAGGGGAGGTGAAATGAAAGCCTGCTGCTTGGTGCATTGGCGTTGATACGCCCAGAGCAACATTGACCCGCTGCAGAGAGGTGACTGACAGTCAAAGAAAAAGCACTACAGGACGAGAGAGAGAGAGAGATTTTCGAATAGGTGGTAATCCAGTGATGCATTCACCAGAAGTGCCTGCTGGTGGCCCGTGGAGTACCCCACCCACCCACCCACCCACACAAACACATACAGGAGGCATGAATGCAAAGAGCGAGGGACTGACCGTCGAAGAGGTGGTAGTCCAGCGATGCGTTGGCCATGAGCTCGTACACGAGCAGTGCCTGCTGCTTCTCCGTGCAGTACCCCACGAACTGCACCAGGTGGGGGTGGCGCAGGCGACGCAGAAACACCACCTCCGTCTGGAAGAAAGAAGTGGGGGGAAGTTTGGATACAGATGGGGAAAGAGGGGGTGCGGAGTGGGGGTGGGCAGGGCCTGCTGCTTCTCCGTGCAGTACCCCACGAACTGCACCAGGTGGGGGTGGCGCAGGCGACGCAGAAACATCACCTCCGTCTGATGAACGAAGAGGGGGGAAGTTGGGGACAAATGGGGAAAGAGGGGGTGCGGAGTGGGGGTGGGCAGAGCCTGCTGGTGCTCCGTGCAGTACCCCACGAATTGTACCAGATGTGGGTGGCGCAACCGCCGCAGAAACACCACCTCCGTCTGGAAGAAAGTAGAAGGGGGAAGCGGGGGGGAAGACGGCAACAGATGGGGAAGAGGGGGTGGGGGGTTGGGGCGAACGAGCAGGGATAATTCTGCTCCGCGCAGCACCCCACGAGCTGCACCAGATGGGGGTGGCGCAGTCGCCTCAGAAACACCACCTCTGTCTGACGAGGTGGGGAGAGAGAGGGGAGGGAGGGTGGGGAGGGGGGTGATGGGAGAACGGGGAAGGCATGGACGGGGGAGAACGGGGAAGGCATGGACGGGGGAGAACGGGGAAGGCATGGACGGGGGAGAACGGGGAAGGCATGGACGGGGGAGAACGGGGAAGGCATGGACGGGGGAGAACGGGGAAGGCATGGACGGGGGAGAACGGGGAAGGCATGGACGGGGGAGAACGGGGAAGGCATGGACGGGGGAGAAAGATGGCAAAGAATGGGGAAAAGGGATGGAGATATTGGGAATGTGCTGGAAAACCTGTCCCCACCTACCACCCATGCCTTACCACCCATGCCGTACCACCCATGCCGTACCACCCATGCCGTACCACCCATGCCCCAAGACCCAATGGAAAGCTTGTTGTGACCCCACCACCAGTAGCCCTTACCAGCCATTCGTTGAACCCCTGCCGGCCTTCGTCATTCAGCTGCTTCACTGCCACGTGGCGCTCCACCGTGCTGCCATCTGGCGCCTCCTCACGAACCACCCCGCGGTACACCTTCCCGTAACCACCCTCGCCCAGCACGTTCACCGCACTGAACCCATCTGTAGCCGTTACGAGCTCCTCATATGAAAACTCCACGGGGTTGGGCAGATTCGCGTCGTGGCGAACATTGTCGTCGTTGTTGCCTGGGTAACCATTTTCGCCTAGACTGGCGCCGCCGTATCCTCCGCCGTACCCTCCGCCGTGTCCTGCGCCGTGTCCTGCGCCGTATCCTGCGGCGCCGTATCCTCCGCCTGGTGACGGTCTTGGCGGAAATGAATCGTCCGAGGAGGGGATAGTGAGGGACGGACGACGAGGACGATTGATGGGCCTGGAATGAGGTTTGGAATCGGAATGCCTGGAGGGGACTGGCGGCGGGGGGAGAGAATGAGCAGGGGAGGAGAAAGGAAGGGATGCGAGGGGATTGTGAGGGATGGACGACGAGGACGGACCTTGGAAGGGGACTGGCGGTGGGGGGAGAGTGAGGGGGGAGAGCAAGAAGGGTAGGAGAAGGGATGGGAGAAAGAGACAGGACGGGGTGGCAGCGGATGAGGCGATTGCGATGGGAGAGCAATGGTGTTGCATTTCGGTTTGAGAATGGTTCGACTTTTTTATTTTATACAGATGTCCTATTTCCACGAGATTGCCGCCGACAGCTCGTCACGTGTGTCAAGACGCCTAGTAACGCGGACGTTTTGTAACGCGGACGCACTCTTTGGTCTCAGTAGATTCCACGATTTGTCAGCCGAACGCGAGCCCGCAGAACCCATAAGAGAGCTACCGAAGCCTAAGGTGCGATCATCTGTGCTGTCAGCATAATCCGCGAATCGACGACATTAGGTTGCTCGATCCGCATTGGCTGTTTGCGCAATCATGACGATAGATGTAGTCTGTGCTTATGCTGCCATGCTTACGAGGAATGGCGCAATGGTTGTCGGAAGGAAGAAGTTGAACTGAACGAACCAAAAGCCACCCTGGTGTGAAGCTTCTATACCGCTTGGGAACGTGATAAAACGAACTATATCGTACAGAATACCCCGAAAATGAAACTCACACACAGTTCCGATTGTCACCGACATTCTCACCAAGACTCGGTAGCTATTCTCCATGGCAGTGGTGTAGCAGAAACAAATCAGTTCAAGAATTTCTTGGTTTCGAAACAAAAGTTCTCGAGGGTCTGCTCCGTCAGAATGGCGTGACTTTTATTACATACAATATGACCGCATCCCGTGGACATGAGGCTTGAATTCAACCACTGGATCGAGGCGGTGCATTGGCCTGTGCTACCGACGAGGGTGCTTCTTGACTGAAAACATTCTCGAAAACTTTTGGACCCCAACGGCAAACTGTGCGTGAAAAATAGCTTCCTTCCCTCCCCACCCAACGCCACGCCCCACCCCACCAATGAAGCCGTTCTCAGTTTTCGCTATAACCTATAAGCCAGTCACGTCACGACTCACGACAGTTATAGTATTAGCTATGCGTGATCTACTAACACGCACTTAGCTTGTCGTACCAAAGAATCAGCAAGAGACTCTCAGCCAACCGTTTTCACCTCATATCTAGGTACTAACACTTTCACATAAATATTGGCTCCTTGTCCAGTCCAGTGGCCCCAAAAGGCTCAAGACCATTCTATTAAATCTTTACAAAACACCATATCGTACAAACACTGAAATGCACGTGACATGATTTGTGAAATGCAGCGCAAGCCAATCATTGCACCGCACCAAATCCGCTGTGTATGCTCACTAAAGCATTTGTAACTTGGCCCAAATCAACCTTATTTTCGCTGTCTTGATCCCCTTGACCCAACACTAGATTGTATTGTAACCCACAAGCGCTCACAAGGAAGTGGTAACACGCGTTGTCGTAACGATCTGGCCGAATCTCAAGCACTGTAGCATCGAATGGCATGAATACCATGTTTGCTAGCGCGGCCCCGTGCCCGGCTATGAAGAGACGCGCTTGCAGGAAGAGGGACCGCGCTGTGTGGGCATGGTGATTGCAAGGGCAGGGGGAAAGAAGTTAGAATCTCAAGCACTGTAGCACCGAGCGGCATGAAGACCATGTTTGCTAGCGCTGTCTCGTGCCCGGCTATGAAAAGGCAAGCTTGTAGAAACAGGGATCGTGCTGTGTAGGGAGAAGAGGAGAATGGAAACGCAGGGGGAAGGGGAAGAGAAAGGGGGGAGAGGTTATGGGATAGGTTGGAATGGAAGAGGGAATGAGCAATAGCATACGGTCTCTGTTGCAGTGCTGCTCGCTGCCTTGCTCACTGCCATTCTCCCTGCTGTGCCCACTGTTAAGTCAAAGTTCCAAAGGGAAAGAAATGAAAATAAGTAAAAGAAACCACCAGATGGTGCGTGTATAGTATGGGTAAAAGAAGGCAAAAGGTTTACTTCTCAAAACTTGTCGAACGAATTCAGCAGCAAACCACCATCACACATTTTTTACGCCTGAAAACACTTTCACCTCATACACCACCATAATGAGGTTACAACAAATCAATCATCATCGTTTCTCACCTTCAAGAATCGGCAGCGAACCGTCGAAAGTCCGAACCTTCTCCTGCCCGAAAACTTTCTTCACCTCCTCCAAAAGCTCCTCAAACTTGTCCAAAGCTCTTCGGCTGCCTGGGCGGCGCGCGACAACGACGAGCCAATCAGAGCGCAGCACAGACGCCGCCTGCTTCTCCGTGATTGGCTGGATCCCTCGGGATTGCCAGCCATGCTTGTGGAAAAAGGGGAGGCCGTGTGGAGGAAGCAGGGCCCGTAGCCTCATGTCTCGCCAGATGGCTGGTGAAGGCTTGCCGCAACACTGGTAAAGAGGCTGCTTGTAAGGGGGACAGACGATGGCACAAAGTAAATGTACAAATAAGTTAGAATATATCAAGCAGTTCATGATTAAACACACAAAGCACACATTCATCGAAGGAAGACAATCTGGATGGGGAGTAGAGAACATAAGTGCGCATGTAAGACGGCCAAACTGTAAACAAATCCTTTTTGCTATATATACATACAGACAGGCATGTATGGATGTGTCTACATAACATACGTAGAGGCATATATGTGTCACCACTGTAATATTTAAATATTAGCATAAATATAAATATTGATATATAAACGTCTATTTAATATACAAGAAAATTGACAGAGATGGGTGTACCATGAACAGTTGGTCGACTAGGATGAGCTCGTTGGGTTTGACGTCCACTCGATTAATCTGCGCTAGCTCCACGCCCACCAGTGGCTTGAGCACTCGGTCGTAGAATGCCCACTGGGGAAGGAAGGGTGAGGGAGGAGGGTGAGAGTTGAGAGAAAGATGAGCTCGTTGGGTTTGACGTCCACTCGATTAATCTGCGCTAGCTCCACGCCCACCAGTGGCTTGAGCACTCGGTCGTACAATGCCCACTGGGGAAGGAAGGGTGAGGGAGGAGGGTGAGAGTTGAGAGAAAGATGAGCTCGTTGGGTTTGATGTCCACTCGATTCATCTGTGCTAGCTCCACCCCCACCAGAGGCTTGAGGACTCAGTCGCAGAATGCCCACTGGAAGACACAGTGCAGATAGAGGGAGTGTGGATGGAGGGAGTGTGGATAAAGGGGGCGTAGGCGGAAAAGGTGCAGTGCAGTAGGAGAAAGAGAGACGTCAGGAGGACAGGCTTGCGTCAGTGTTTAGAGGGGGTGGAAGGGTGACTTTAGAGTTGACTAAAGAAGGACGGGAGCGAGGAGGACAAGGGAAGTGATGCCTGACGCAGGGGATTGTGGGTGGCTTGGGGGTCGCTTAGGAGTGGTTTGGTGGCGGCTTGTGGGTGGCTTGGCGGTGGCTTGGCGGTGCCTTGGGGGTGGCTTGGCGGTGGCTTGACGGTGGCTTGGCGGTGGCTTGGTGGTGGCTTGGGGATGGCTTGGCGGTGGCTTGGCGGTGGCTTGGGGTTGGCTTAGGGGTGGCGTGGGTTGGTGTGGGGTGGCGTGGGTTGGTGTGGGGTGGCGTGGTTTGGTGTGGGGTGGCGTGGGTTGGTGTGGGGTGGCGTGGGTTGGTGTGGGGTGGCGTGGGTTGGTGTGGGGTGGCGTGGGTTGGTGTGGGTTGGCGTGGTTTGGCTGTAAGTTTTTGAAAACTTTGAAAAAGGACCACGGAGCAGTCACAGCACAGCAATCCAAGGAGTGCGGTTCTGGCTGCATTACTCCCAAGTACTGCACTTCATTGCACTGGACCATTCTCACAATCACCAGCCAAGGACTGCTATCTTTGGCCACCTCCATGAGGACGTGACAGAACCAGAAAGCACCGCACGTCACTGCGCTGCACCGCACTGCATCCCACTCACTCACTTCCAAGAACCTGTTCAGGTGTGCTCAGGACTGCTATGTTTGGTAGTTTCTGCAGCAAGGGAACGAGCCTTAGTTCGGAAAGACGCAGCTAGGACGCTGCGTCCTGCGTCCGGACGCTAGGACGCAGGACGCGCGTCCAGACGCAGGACGCACGTCGAAAATTTTTTCGGGCAGCCCGAAAAAAAAATTTCGATCGCGATTTTGGCATTCGCGATTTCGACGCGAATGTCGAAATCGCGAAATTTCCCCACCCCAAGCCCAATTCGCCATTCAAAACCAGCCCCCCTAACATTCCCTAACAACTAAACCAAAATTGAATTTCACTCAAACCTCTCGACCACTTAGCATCTACGAATCCCAACCTTTGTAGCCCACCACCACCAAGCACATTTAGCATGGCAACCTTTTGTGGCTTCTCATTTTCCCCTCACCAATTCTCTTTCGTAAACCCATAGAGGTTTTAGGTCTTAGCTTAGCTTACCACCTAAACTCCGCTATGGCTTCCTCGAGCATTCCTTCTGTGAAATGTGTGACACGTGACTCACCTTAATCTCAAATTTTGGGGGAAAATTTTGTGGTATGACACCCCCCCCCCCCCCCCCCTCTCCCAAGCCCTATACTATTTTTTTTGGCCTGCCCGGGGATTTTTTTTGCCCTGCCCGGGCTTGCGTCTTTTGGTGCGTCTTACAGGTCAAGGGTCAGCGTCCTGCGTCTGGACGCATGCGTCTGGACGCATGCGTCCAGGACGCAGGACGCGTCTTTCTGAACTAAGGAACGAGCAGCAGGAACTGCGGCAGCCACTCCATGAGCCCGTGATAGACCCCCATGGCTTGCAGGGACACGAGGGAGAGAGCGAGTACCGCACTCCACCACATTCCACCCCCATATGAAGCGTACCTGTTCGGGCGTGCCAAGCACTGCTATGCTTGGCAGCTTCTGCAGCAGCGGAGCGAGCAGCAGGAACTGAGGCAGCCACTCTATCAGCCCGTGATAGAACCCCGTGGCTTGTGGGTACACGAGGGAGAGCGCTCGATGCATGTGGCGCACTGGTGTGGCCTGGGGGTATGAGAACTGGTGGGGGAAGGTCAGGGGAGGAGAGGGGAAGGAGGGAGGAGGTAAAGGGAAGGAATTAAAAAAAAAAAATGATCAAGACCTGGGGATTGCAGATGCAGGAGGGAGGGTGCTCGGTGCATGTGGCGAACTGGGGTATGAAAACTGGTGGGGGGAGGGCAGGGGAGGAGAGGGGAAGGAGGGAGGAGGTGAAGAAGGGAAGGGAGCTCATGAGGCCCTTGACCAGTCTGTACTAGAGTACGTTTTTGAGAATTCTCAAAAAGAGTACTCTCAAGTAGCAGGTGGTGTTTGCAGGTTTCCAAGGGGGAGCGCTCAGCTCAATGCATGTGGCGCACTGGGGTGGCCTGCGGGTATGAGAACTGCTGGGTCGATTTTTGAGTCATCGTCGACTAAAAAATCGACTCATCTCGTGTGGCGTTTTGGGGTGGCCTGCGGATATGAGAACTGGTGGGGGGAGGGCAGGGGAGGTGGGGAGTGTAATGGCGGAAAATGTTAGGAGGAAACATAGTGAGCTTTTAAGTATTCTCAAGCGCTAGCAGCAACTGTCACCTCGGAGAAAGCCCTTGCGAGCAAACTCGTTGAACACCTGCCCCTCACAGCCCCGCCCCACCTGTTCCCTTACAGCCCCGCCCCACCTGTTCCCCCACAGCCCCGCCCCACCTGTTCCCCCACAGCCAACTGCCAGCAGCACAGTACGAGGCTCAGAACTCACCTCCGAGAAATGGCCGCATCCCTTGCGAGCAAAGTGGGTTGATTCGTTAAACACCTGCCCCTCCGCGCTCACATAAACCCCCCGCAGCAGGAAGGTCTGAAACACCATCCACTTGTGCCATGCGAAGTCCGATTCATGGCTGCACCTCGCATCGAACCCCTCCGCACCGCTCTCCACTACGTTCTTCACCTTCGGGCAGTTTTCCGGTGCCCGAAGCCACTGCTTCCCGTCGTCTTCCAGCCCGGGGTTGGAGCAGGCAGAAATTTCCGGGTTGACCGAGCACCTGCCCGAGAAATCCGGGCAGGTGGGGGCGTTGGAGCAGTTGAGGGAGTCTAGATGGGGGGAATAGAGGGCACCGATATTGAGGTGAAGCTCTGACATAGAGGAACGGGAGAGAGGGGAGGGGAGGGAGGCTGGAGAGGAGAGGGCCTCCTGTTGAAGGGAGCCCATGGGGTCTAAGCCTAGAGATTCAAGGGAGCTGCTGGTGCTGCTGCTGCTGCTGCTGCCACTGGTGCCGGTGCTGGTGGTGGTGGTGCTGCTGCTGCTAATGCTGTTGGTGCTGGAAGCAGCTACAGGTGCGGCTGGTTGCCCCCTCAGCCGCGCCTCTGCTTCTGTGAGTCGCTGCAGCAGCTGCTGTGCGCGCTGCTGGGCTCTGTTTGAGCAAATAGGGGGCACACAAGGGGAGAGGGGCGCACAGAGTGCAGGTAAGGCATGAATGCACAGGCAGGCACAGAGTGCAGGTAAGGCATGAATGCATAAGGAGGCACAGGGAGGGCAACCTGAGTCAAGGAGGCGAATAGGCGGTAGTGACGGGCACACACTGCATGAATACCCTCCCCTCTCGTTATACTCACACTTGTCTGTCCACCCTGCTTTGTGCCACATCAGCAGCCAGCTGCTTCGCCTCCTGCTCCAATGATTGTATTTCCGACACTGGCCCATTTCCACCGGCTGAGCTAGCAGTTGACGTGGCAGATGCTGAGCTGGCAGTTGAGGTGGCAGCTGCTGTGCTGTCAGGTGACGTGGCAGGCAGTCCACTGGCCGATCCTTGGATCAGTCCAGATTCCTGCCTGGATTCACTGGCTCCTGTTGCTAGCGACTCCAATGATTGCTGTAACCCTGATGCCTGTGGTAACCGTGTTACGTTTGGTAACCCTGTTGGTAATTCTGGTGATTCTTGCAACCCTGTTGATTTTGGTAAATCTGTAGGCTCTGGTACCACTGTAGACTGTGGTAACCCTGTTAACTGCCCTCCTGCTCGCTCCTGCTCAGCCAACTGCTTCCTCAGCTCCTTTTCCATCTCCGAAACCCTTCCCAGCAGCATCTCGTCATTTTCCAGGGTAATTTCCCCTGGCCCTGAAGCACCTGCCTCTGCACTATTCCCTGCTGCCCCTGCCCCAAAAACATCCTGCACCCGCTGCTGCAGAAGCTGCGATTGGGTAAGAGACTCTTGTTGGGCTTGTGCTGTCAGGAGCACTGAGAGGGAAGAGGGGAGGAAGGCAAGAGAAGGGTCTGGGAAGGAGAGTGAGGGGGGCAGAGGGAGCTTGGGGAGTTGGAGCTGAGAGGAGAGACTCGTCTTGGGCTTGTGCTGGCCGGAGGACTGAAAGGGACGAGGGGAAGAGGGGATGGGCGGACCAGGGGGATTGGGCGGAAAGGGGAAAAGAAGGGATGGCAGGGACAAGCGGGGCTGGGGGAGTTGGGGCTGAGAGAGAGACTCGTCTTGGGCTTGTGCTGGCCGTAGGACTGGCATGGACGAGGGGGAAGAGAGGAATGGAAGGGGGATCGAGGGAAAGGAGGGGAGGGCGGGGATTGGCGGGTGGGGAAGTGGGGATGGGGGGAGTGAAAGGCTGCTGCTGGGGGTGGGAGGGAAGCGGAGGGGGCTGGGAGTTGGAGGTCAGAGAGGAGAGAAACCTGTTGGGCTTGTGCTGACCGGAGGACTGAAGGGGACGAGGGGAAAGAGAGGAAAGGAAGGGGGCCGGGGGGGGGAAGATGGGATGAGGGGACGGCAAGAATTGGCTGGTAGGGAAGTGCGGATGGGGGGGGGCGAAAGGCTGCAGCTGGGGGTGGGAGGGACGCAGAGGGGGCTGGGAGTTGGGGCTGAGAAGAGAGACTCGTCTTGGGCTTGTGCTGGCCGGAGGACTGACAGGGACGAGGGGGATAGAAGAGAAGGGAAGCCGCGAGGAGGGGAGCGGGGAGACGAGAGGAGGGGAGCGGGGAGACGCGAGGAGGGGAGCTGGGAGACGAGAGGAGGGGAGCGGGGAGACGCGAGGAGGGGAGCTGGGAGACGAGAGGAGGGGAGCGGGGAGACACGAGGAGGGGAGCGGGGAGACGCGAGGAGGGGAGCGGGGAGACGCGAGGAGGGGAGCTGGGAGACGAGAGGAGGGGAGCCGGGAGTAGAGTGGAAGGTTAAAGATGAGACGCGAGGAGAATGGAAACTCTATTCGCGAATTAAAGCAGGCGTGGGGCTCCACGTGGGCTTGGAGCTGTCGAGCCACCCACGTGGGCTGTGATTCGCGCCTCCGGCCACGTGGGTTCCTCAAAACACACATGTGGTGGAACCGTGCTTGAGAAAGAACGACGAGAGGAGGGTCAGGTGGAAGGGAGGAGAGACGAACGAGCGCGTAATGGCAACTAGAGGGGAGAACAGACTCAGAAAATAGGAGAAGTAGATAACGTAATGCTGGGAATGCTGGATCCAATTTAGAGAATTTTGAGTTGTGCCCCCAAAGTGGGTCCAAGAGGGAGGGGAATCAGCAGCACTGGCTTACGGAGAACGAGGAGCAACGGACGGAGAACCCCGCGAGCAGGCATGCTGCCGTCCAGACGCAGGGGTTTGAAACGGCGTCTCGTCTCACGCTCGACTTGGTGATGCTGAATTAGAAACGGCTAACTCCGTACAAGCCGGAAGCAAAAAGCTTTTCGACAACTCAACAATCAGCTGCGCTGCGTGACACCTGACTGACGCAGTGACCTACCAGTAGTTCTGTATGCACCTCCGTCCAATTATAACAGAGGTTGGGCACTGCCCTGGCAGCTTCAGGGATGGTTCGATGATTAGGGCGCGTCCTTGGTGGTCGGAGGTCGAAGAAATGGTGGAGCATTGAGTTGTAACCTGTTGGCTTCCTGGCTTCGGGACATCCGCTGTGCTAGTCATCCCAAATCTTGGGAAGACACGAGTTGCAATGCAGCACCTCGGATCATCCCAAAATTCTGTTCACGATTTTTTCTGAACAGATATTTTGCTGGCTACACGAAATCGTAGCTCTCGTCGTTGTAAGTTGCGATCGCCAAAACAAACTGGCGACCGATTCCGCTTTTGGACGACGCAGAAATGTGCAATGTTGCACAATACTTGAGTGTACTTTTTGTCGCAAATTCAGAAACGTAGCACTCGAGCTAATTGATATGAATATTGAGGAGAATGTAATTTCGCCCACCATGTTCGCTGAAGCTCGCTAACTCCCGAAGCAGAAGACCAAAGCTCGATTCGGTAAAATCGCGGCTCGTGAAATTATATCGGGATGTCCCAAAGCCGGGATGTCCCGAAGTCAGGAATCCGCCCTAAAGAAGATCACTAAGCTAGTCAACATCAGGCAACATATAAGAACCTACCGTATTACCAGTTCAATTGAGTGAGCGAACAAAGATTGCAAAACAGTACATTGAGTAAAGAAATAGTGAACTAGCATTGTAACAAAAACGAGCGTATCGTGGGATGGGCGACAAGCCTAGCGCCGAGGTTAGGAATTGTCGAGGCGGAGGACCGGAGCGCAGGTAACAAGCCGAGCCGTGAGGTTGGGTCATCATGTGAATAGTAGCGGGAACAGTAGTCGAGGCGAGTGTCGCGAGGTGGTAACGGTTCTGTTGGGCACTGTTGGCGGGAACAGTCGTGTAAGCCGTAAGCAGGGGCGCGAAGTAAGAAAAACGATCTTTTCTTACGGAAACTAACGTGAACACCGAACAGAGGTCGAGCGTACAAATGAATGTTCACGTGCACGTTTTGTCAAACGTGTGCACTTTTGCACACGTTTGAAAAAAACTGTTAAATCTGCGAAACGAAGAAACATCGTCATGCGCACTACCAAAGCCATGCCAGTTTCAATGCGTTGCCAACCGTCACGTGAAAGGCGTCGTCTCGAAATTGGGTAACATACGAATTATATATGCGACTCAGGCCGTGCCCTAAGCTCGAAGTTAGAGGGTCGACCATTACTGGTGCTATGTGCTTGACGAGAGAGGTGAACACGCGACTCGACTGTCAAGAGTTAAGATACTCGACTGCTCAATTGTTGAAACTCAAACAATATGTGTGGGAGCCGTCAGAGTGGTACTAGGGGGGTGGAGTGTGAGCAGTGCTAGGGGAACAGCATGGGGTGTGTGAAAGGGGTGTGGGACAGCTGGGGGAGGTTGAGTGGAGGCAGCCGTCTTGTCGTCCGCAGCGCCAGTAGTCCGGAGGCTACAATCTCCGTTAGTCGCCAGTCGCCCGTAGGTCAGTTGCTCTAGTCGGTCGGTGTAGCCGCGGAGCCAGTTACTCCTGAAGTCCGGACCTTTGCTTCGGTAGCCACTGAGCCAGCCGCTACAGTGTGTCTGCAGCTTCAGCCCTCGCCTCCCATCTTCTCGCCCCCACAGTCTCTCCTCCTCCTCACTTGCCCTTTGTGATAGCCTCTAGCTTTGCTTATCATTGTGAACTATTGCTCTGCCTGCTTGTTGTGCTGATTACACCCCACTTTGGCTATGGGGGTGTGTCAGAATGTTGTATTTGTCTAGCCTGCAGTGGGGTACTCTATAGCAAGTACAACCCAATTTAGGGTTTCCTATATGTACTCAACTGCTTGTTAGTGCAACCCCTCTTTCGTGTTCTAACTTTCTGCCTACTATTTTGACATTATAATGTGGATTTTTTTATAACCCCATGGGGGAAATAAATGACACTTAGTAAATTATGATTTTAAAACACAGAAATGTAGATCTCAGCCCTGCTGTTTCAATCGAGACTACCACAAAACAGTTCGCTTCGAAATTCACCGAAAATCTGCCACCCTGGTGAAAATCCCTGCCATCATGTGCTGAAATGTTGCTAACGCGTGCGCGCCTGTGGCAATTTCGCCAGGCGGGCCAGGGAAGACTTCGCCAGGCACGTCAGCGATGATTGCTCCTGACGCGTTAGTAGCGAATTCACTAGAAAAACACAGATTTGAGTAAAATTTCATAGGGTGCGCTTATACGAAGATGATCCAAATTTAGGGTGGGGTTATAATCGGCACCCGGCTATAAGCCCACTGGTACGATTATAAGCCCATGGGTGTAACATAGGCCTGGGGGTATATCCGGGGCATGTCGGTAGTGTTCTTACTGCTTGCTGCGTTCACAGAGATGGTTTGCAAGAGTTTCCCCTAAGGAAGTTGAGAGAACAATTTGCATTGCAAAGTTGATAGTACAATTGAGGCATGCAGAACAAAAATGACTAGAAGGGCATGCAGCACCTAGCAAGGGCAGAATCCGCCAGCGCAGCAGAAGAGTAGCTTGCCACAGCTGCAGCAGAGTAGTCTGCCAGCGTTGCACTACACGCGGTCTGCCAGCGCTGCAGTCGCAGGTGACTATCTGCAGTTGCAGGTTGTCTATATGTGCAGATGTGCGCACCTACCAAGTAGGTGCAGGTTGACAGTTTCACCGTCAGGCACATTGCGCAGGTGCCAGGTAGAAAATGTGTCGTCGGTTTCGCCACGTGATGTCGTTCTGCAAGTAGAATTTCGCCAAAACCTTCTGGGCGAAAGTTCGCACGCCTCCGCAGAGTTTCGCACAACTCTGCAACTTCAGTCGATGAGCTCGAAATCGCTCGGTCGAACAGCGTTCCTCGACCCAAACTCTTCGACATGAGTTCCTTGACCAGGATCGTCGACCAGCGCTCTTCGACGGGAGCTCGTCGTGCAGAGATCGTCGACCAGAGCTCGTCGCGCAGAGCTCGCTCGACCGCAACTTCCGTCGGACTGCAGAAGCCCACTTCTTCGACCAATCCGTCGAAAACTTCCCGTCGAAGGCGAGATCGGATGCGCCCAAGCGAGGGTGGGGCCTTCTCTTCGACAAGGGTGTTGGAAGAGGAACCAAGTTTGTTTGGATCAGTGGCGTGATCGACGTCCACGTAGTCGACAAGATTGAACGATCAAGTTGTGTGGGTGGAGAAGGAGAGCCCAATGTTGGGTGTTGATTCGAAGTACTACAGAGAACATTGAAGATCCAGCACTGTCTCCATTACAACCTTGTAGCCTCCCACATAGTCTAACCAGACGTAGCGCATCGCACTGCGATACTTCTTCTTCAAGAACGAAGATGACAATGGGAGGGTTGACTTGACGTATTGTCCCACTGATGACATGGCAACCGACTTCTTCATGAAGAAACTGCCATGTCAGCAAAATCAACATGATGCCAACCTCATCAAAGTCATCAAGCGTACAAGAACCTGTTACGTCCAACAATGAAGGGGGGTGATATGAAGAATAATAAATCTTAGAAAATAAGGAGAAGTTGACTAGTAAGTTGTCGAGTCTGCGTTGGGGTACTCTATAGTGAGTACAACCCAAATTACGGTTTGCTATTTGTATCCTATCTGCTGCTAGTGCAAACCCTCTTTCTGTTTCTAACTTTCTGCTAGCGTTTCTCGACATGCTATCAAAGCGAGAATGCTCCTGGTCTGTGGGCCCACCTGCTTCCGCTGCTGTCCTGCCTGTCGCGCGCCCGGGGCGCGCGACGTTTTCTGCCTGCCGCGCGCCCGGCGCACGCGGCGTTTTTTTCTTCCTACCGCGCGCCCGGCGCGCGCGGCGATTTCGTCGCCCGTCACGGCACCCCAGGGGCCCGCGCGCCGTCCTCCCTATCGGCGCCCGTCACGGCGCCCCGGGGGCCCGCGCGCTGTCCCCTCCCGTCGCCCGTCGCGGCGTCCCGGGGGCCCGTGCGCCGCCCCCTCTCGTCGCAAGTCGTGGAGCCCCGGGGGCCCGCGCGCCGCCCTGCCCGTCGCCCGTCGCGGCGCCCTGGGGGCCCGCGCGTCGCCCCTTCCCGTCGCCCGTCGCGGCGCCCTGGGGGCCCGCGCGCCGCCCTGCCCGTCGCCCATCGCAGCGCCCCAGCTGCTGCCCGCGTATCTGCCCCGCGCTGCACGCGCGCCGCCTGCGTTGGGGGTATGGGGGTGGCGGGTGTGTGAGCCGTCCCCTGCTCATCCTCCTCCTCCGTCTCCCAATGTTGCAGCTGCTGCTGAGGGGGATGGGTGTGTGGGAGGCGGAGGAGTGGCGCTAGGGGGGTGTTGTGGGAGTGGAGCTAGGGGTGCAGCAAGGAGTGTGTGAAAGGGGTTTGGGACAGTTGGGGGAGGTTGAGTGGAGGTAGCCGTTGTGATGTCAGCAGTGCCAGTAGTCAGGGGCCCTTTCTCCGGTAGCCCAGCGAGCCTGTTGCGCCAGTCGCCCGAGGGTTCGTTGCTCCTGCCGCTCATCTTAGCCGCGGAGCCAGTTACTCTTGTAGTCCGGGGCCCTTGCTTCGGTAGCCACCGTGCGTACCGCTCCTGTTGCCTGTGTGTCTGCGGCTTCACCCGTCGCCTCCTATCTCCACTCCTCTCACAGTTCCTCCTCCTCCCTCACATGCCCTCTGTGAATGCCTCTAGCTTTGCTTGTGCTTGGGAACTTCTTATGCGACTGCTTGCTGTGCTGATCATACCCCACTTTGCCTATGGGGGTGTGTCAGAATGCTATAATTGTCTAGTCTGCAGTGGGGTACTCTATAGTGAGTAAAATCCAAATTAGGGTTTGCTGTATGTATCCTATCTGCTGCTA